TCTTCCAGACTTACAAATTTTGATTAAGGTTATTGCGCTTCTTTCAGATACGATTTTAGGATGTCCAGAGCTCTTGCCAAGAACATCAATGTTTGACTTTTCGCCACTTTTTTTTATTATATTAAAAACAGTAGTTGTTACTACAAAAAATTCTTTAGAAATTTCACGCAGGCAAAATACTTTATGGTAGGTATTGCCGTATGATAATTTCGCGCACTCTTCGATCAGTTGGCATCCCACGTCCCATTATTTTCACAAGTATTAGAAATTAAAAATTTAAAAAACCGACTTCAAAAACGTGCAGATGCCATCACTACATCTCAACCATATTTATTAAGGACCATCCCTGAGGTACTCCCTTATTATAAAAAAAAAAGAATCACATAAATCGGACAACATACATAAACATACATAAAAAATGTAAGAGTTTGAGGATTTTCTCATGGACCCAATTATTAGATTTTGACCAAATTTATATGGGACCACACCTGAAGTACCCCCTTTCTAACAAAAAATCATTGAAATCGGATACCGTTTTAAAGAATTATCGCTGAACATACATAAAAAAAATATCGCGACGAATTGATAACCTCCTCCTTTTTTGAAGTCGGTTAAAAATAATTTACAAACTATCTGGTTTGACAACAGTTTTAACAACAATATAACAAGCTGTAGACTACGTTTGCTTTTATTACAAAACTGTCATAGGCATAGTCATAGCGATAACATCGAAAAAAGTAAGAAACGTGAAATAAACCTCCGAGCAATTACTAATAGAGGGAGCGTGAAAACGAGTTTGTAGGCGATTGTTGTGTTAGCAACATCCGTAGAAGAAGTGAGGAAGCGGGCACAAGGGGGAAGGTTAACATCCTTCTTGTTCAGTGGCGTATCATTTATTTATAAAAGCACACATTTTTCAAACGTTTTAATTGTAAAAAAAACTAAAAAACACTAAAAAAAATTGCTAATTTTACTATTTTTAAAATGAATACCGTCTTATGTGTCTAATGCAGAAAATAAAACAAAATAACTGTAAAGATCTAATTTTTTCAATTGAAGAATAAAACCTTACAATTAATTTCATTATAAATAAATACAGCAGCGACTAGTTTCGGCCTTACAGGAACATCTTTAGGCCTGTAATTCAATAATCTTTAATTGTTATAATAGGTTGGTCACTTACAAATAACATTAAATAGTATAAACCACAAAAATGGATCCATATTGTAGCGTTACAGCATTATAGAATTAAAGCTGTGAAAATAAAAGAGTACTGCAAACGTAACTAAAAATAAAAAACTGAGTACGGAATCTACAAGCGAAGAGGTGAGAATGAGCAATTACGAATGCATTTAAATTGCTCGGGATAACAAATAAAGCTGATAATGTAGTGGTATAGTCCCCGTCAAAAAAGGTCGGGTATGTTAAAGAGGACGGCGTTTTCTCTGTAAATCTGGAGAATGTAAGGATGGATAGAAGACGAATCTTGCTGGCTCAGGTGTAGATGGCTAGAAAAAGGAGCGTGTAGATGAAAGCTCCAGTAAATATCGTCACTTTCGTCTAATTTTTTATTCTCACTCACCGTTTCGGCTTTATCTTCGAAATTCATTTTTAAAAGGAAATAAAAGTAATGATTCATACAAGCATATAATAAAACAACATGAATTCATTATATTTAATAAGCTAATAAACGTTTGTTTCAATGAAAAAAACATATATGTGAATATAAAAAATATATAAATAGATAAGATTAATATCAAAATCAATTTGAAAATACAACAGATAATAAAATGAAATAAATTAATACAAGTACAAATAGAAAGTTAATAACATACCTTCTAAAAGTAACACATTTTAAGTAGATAAATGTTTAAAGAGTTTATTCCTGAACATAACTAATCTAACGTTTTCCCCCTTTTTTAATATTATGAGGGTTTCTGAGTTGAAATGAAAATTATAATTTATTTTGGTCCTAATAAAAATTTAAACATAGGTTATCAAAGGGTAAAATACATAATAGAACTTCATAATCTTAAATCGTTATCCAAAATTATTAATGGTAAAACTTCTAACAATAATTAGATTTTTAAACAAATTTCTAGTTTTTGTTTTGCAAAAGACTTTTTTGCCTTCTTCGGTTGCCTCTGCTACTTTTCTTTTAGTAGTTTTGAGGAGAATTTTCCTATGGAAACCAAAAGAACCATGAATTGGTTGGTAAAATTTTGATATTTTGGGTCTGGTAAGTCTTGTTAAACTATCTTCTTAGGAAGCTGTAATCTTATGGAGAATAAAAATTTAATGTTAGATCAAAAGCTCTTAAATGAGAATTATATTTGCAAAGGCCGTTTTAATAATATTTTCAAAAGTTCTTGGAATCGTTGTTAACAGAAACCTGCAAAAAAATATATCACTTTATTCCTAAAATATAAGATATCACACAATGCACATTCATATAATATCATTGTGCTAAAAAAATACTAGACAATTTAAAAAAATTATTTCGAGAAACTCAACTTTTACTGTCATCATTGTACTTAACTTTTTTATTGCTAAATTATTAATGTCATTTTGTGTAGTTCGTTGTGATTTGTATAATATATATTATAAAAACCTATCGTCAATGTTAATGTGCCAAGTTTTTTTAATAATTATGTCCTTGTTATAGTAAAAACACACAAGTTTTCTGGATTTCTGCTTTAAATTATCGTAAAATTGAACTGACTAATTGTATGTTTAAGTAAAGGTATATCTCTTTTTTGTTATAACAGTCTTTGTATATTGTTCTAACTTTTTAGATAATCAGAGAAAACAGTAAGACATCTTAATATATCCTATTTCACCAACAAAAATGTAGAATAATTAATCTCACATCAAACGAAAAAAGTCATTTTAGGATGTCCTAATAGGTTTTAACTTAAAAACTAAATAAAATATATATTGCAACTGTGTTTAAATAAATGAATGTTTTTATACCTGACTATAGCACCAGACAAACATTTTTTTAGATCATAATGATCTGCATAACTCAAAATAGTCAAAATCCACATTATTTAAGTGGTTCTAGTATTGTTTTAGCATAACGATGTAAACTCCAATAATAAAAATTCACATTTTTTTGGGACGTTTTTTAAGGAAATAAAAAAAAAACATGAATAATGTGATATTCTTGTTTAGTTTTGTACTATAAGTATAATATAGTTCATTAGGTAGTGATTTAGAAGCAAATTATGTTCTATTTATAGAATAAAATATCACTCATAATATCTAAATATTTATACCTATTTATATTTTGGACAGGAGAAGAGTATTTTATGTTTTTGGCTCTGAATAGTTTTCTTAAGAATTTTAAAACCTTCCTTAGCTCTCTTGGGATTTTCCATGCATATCCTAGAAGTTCATTTTGTTTAAACCTTCAAAAAATTAAGTACAAAAAATTAAAATTTAAACAATATACAAAATTGGTCTTTTAGATTAGTTAAAAAAAAGTGTCAACAAAAAAATTGCTATGCCTTATTCATTAAACATTCTTTTTGAAAGAAACTTAAGTTCCTCTACTTACTTGCTGTTTTAGTATTTTAGTAGCAGATGAATATAGTGTAGAAGTAGTGACAGGATTGATTATTATACTTCTTTCGTCGAAATTGCATTTTTCTTCAATATTTTCCTCCCCTGAGGTCTGTAATAAAAATTTTCATTAGCATAAAAAGTTATTCAGGTGGTCACTTGTTGAATTCCTATATTTTGGAACCATGTATTTCTTTCTTATATCAAGAAAAGGAAACCTAAAAAAAATAACAATAAACTTTACAAAGATGTGATATTAAAATAATAAATAATTAACGTTTATTATAACTATTATGAGACGTATGAAGACGAACTTAGCTAGAGTTTACTTGCTCTTAATTTTAATATTTCGATAAGAAAATAAGAAAGTTTAATTGCAAATTAAAGGTGATTGCCTAATGCACCGCCTCTGATAATTAAGTTGTGTCTGTACTTGCTTATGATATTATCTTGAAGAAGCATTTTCAACAGGCCTTTTACACATAAAGCATGTTTTCACCATATTATTAGAGATAATAAATCTTAAATATACATTTATAACCCTTACAACGTTATAAATAATATTTTCCGTAAAATACAAATAAGAAATTGACATGTGTCAGAAAGTGTCAGAACTGGCTCTGTCTAACTTGGCAACGCTGATTAAATAAGCCAATTACAGAAGAGGTATTTTCCCCCTCGGGGGGAGTAGATGTTGCTAACAAAATTTAGTGCGGGGAAGGGGGGAAGACTCCCTCTAGCAGTAATTGCTCGGAGAAATAAACAATAGGTGTTCCAACATTTAGTTGTCAGCGTTTTCTAACGTCAAAATGAATTAATTGCGATAAATTAGAGAAAATATAAATTTGCTCTTTCTAGTACCTAAATCAAAACGATAGTGAAAATATTAGTAATTGCTTCTTTTTAGTTAAAACAAAAAAAAGTTATTGATTTAGATTAAACTATTTTTTTTTTCAAAAATAGTTGTTTGTTCAAACATAATATACTTGTTAGGGCTCGTAAGTGTTAATAAATTAGTTTTCGTGTATTACCTTTCATTGAATTTTTGTAATGTTTATTAATTTATTTTTAAAGCTATTTTGGTCTATTTTAAAGTTTATTTAATATCAACTCGTAACCCTGATACATTTTAGAAACGTTTTTGTTTTGTTTTTAAAAGGTTGTTGGGTCACCTTATAGTTACATTGCTCTGAGTACAACACCTGTGATATACGGTCAGACATCAAAGTGATTTCAAAAATGTTCCTTTTTACCAATTTGGGTACGGAACACTAAAAACATCCTGTATTTTTAGGTTACATGCATTAAAATTTTATTCACTGAGTCACCAGACATTTAATTAAAATGCATTTATTATATACAATAAATTATTTTTACCGCAAACATAACAGCGTTACGGTATGTAATCAAAATATTAATAATATTTTTTTTTACAGTTCTAGAGGCAAGAAATGGTGCCAATTTAGAATCCGGTATACCCGAAACGGAATTACCAAGTTATACTATAGCATCAGGGCTGCCAACCTACGAGGAAGCGTTGCAGCAACTTCGAGTAAAAGACCCGCCACATCCGGCAAAGCCAGTCGAAACCGTTGAATGGATACCACACACGCCACCCACTCCTGCTGCCGTGTCTTTGAACGTTGTGAAATTCTTTCAAGGATGCGGTGCCAACGATATTAATTCGGATTCCGCGAAAGATACTTGATTTGCTTGAATCGCTTAAATTATGAATCAAGATGATGATCATTTGCGAGCTCGGCACGTAGACACCGAGAAGTGTCAATTCGATGTGGTGGAATGTTTTGTCTTCTAAAACAGTCAGATAGCTTTGTACAGTGAAACGAATAATATCAGTTTAATTATTGTTACCTGATTTAAGGTTACAGTTTACAGTATGTTTGAATTATATGGTTGTGTTGCGAAATCGAAATTTATTTTAAACACCTAACATATATTCTCCGAGAGCATTATTATATAAATGAATAAAATTGTAATTATTGGATGCCTATCGCCGTCAATCATAATGACTATTAAATTAATGAGATAAAGTTCTTAAGGTATCTAAGGTCCTCATTTGTAAACCAAGCTCCAGTGAGTCTCAGTCGAGTGAGTTGTCATTGATAATGATTTTACACTTACAGATGAATGAATTTTAACTCTCGCAAAATTATATTAAATAGATTTATCAAATTACAGTGATCTTCGGCCATTGTACTGAGTCCTTTTTAAAAATTGGCTTTGCACAAACAGAATATGCTTGGTTGTTTATATCCACGATATCTCAAAAACGACTATAGAGAAAAACAACACAATAAGCTTTAATCCATCCTGTGATGAGATGATTAGATTTTGGGCATAGTCGAAGGATCTAAGGGGTACTTTATAAAAGATCGTTTGTCTACTTTAAGGTATATTTATATAATTTATGGTTGAAGAAGATAATTCTTTGAATAAGAATTTGCAATGTCGTTCTTAATAATTTTTGACTCAAAGGCGACTTACATTGTGTATTCAGTGATCAGACTCACTTACAGTCAGTTTATAAATAATTAAGAATAATGTTTATTATTAGTTGAAAAAATTCTTCTGGGACACAGTTAAAATTTTTTGTTTTAAATTTTATGGTTTATGAAATAATACATATATAATTAAATATAAACGTACAATTTACCAATTATGTATAGTAAGCTGTCAGTACAAATGGTGATTAGTGGGTGCGCCGTACAGTACTCCCCATGAATTTGAAACGAAATATGCTGGACCATTTTAACAAACTGTTTTAAATACAAATAGATGGTGAGGTGTACGTACATGAATATAAAATATAAGAAAATAATAAATAAATACTATATATGAAGCATAGTATCCTTATATATGGTATAAAAATTACGAATTATAAAACTTATGCGGTTTGGCGAACGGCATTTAGTTTTCGCAGTAAAAAAAACAAAAAACATGCGTTTAATAAATTTAACTACAATAGTGGTAATTCTGTAATTCAATACGTTTATTTTTAACGGGTGTTAAATTTTACGATTTTAACATAAATTGTAATTCTTTAAAAATAAATTTAACGCATGCGTTAAATTTCCAAAAAAATTAACATATGTTAAAAAGTAGTTCAAATTTGCAATAAAAGTATGGTTAAGTTTTAAGGTCTGTCAAATAAATGTCATTCCTTCTGTCATACTTATTGTATCAGTCTGGTTTTGCACAAGAATATTGAAAAAAGTAGCGGCCGAATGTACTTTATAAACTATTTGGTCGGCCATCAATTTTCAATACAAAGAAAACTAACCCCCAATAAACTTATAAATATTACCTTTCTACGGCAAATCAATTACTAAAAATAATTTATGTACACTATAAATAAAATATAATTTCTAAATAGAATTTGTGTAGATTCAACTGTTAAAATTACTTGAGTACTTACAAAATGGTTCATTTCATGATTTTCTTGCATTATGAGTTGAATTAAACAATTAAAAGTCATAATTTCTTATATGTTAAGTTTTAAAATTAGTACATGTTAATATCCTCGATTTAACGCATGAAATTAACACATTTATGTTAAATTTTTAACACATTTCTGCTTATAGAATAGATTTTTGCGGCACAAATGAACTATTATGTTAATTATGACAAGTTGAATTTGTTTTATGAATTTACAGAATTGCTTCTCATATTTAACATACGTTATATTTTTAACGCCTGTTAAATTTTAACATATTCGTTATAGAATTACCACTAATGCTGGTAAAGGTTTGGTGGGCCACTGCCAGTTAAAAGTCCAATATACTTACGAAGCCGAGCAGGTTCCCGGGCCAGTCCGTCCCTGCTTAACTTATATAAAACAACCAAAAGATTACTTTGTTGTGTACAAAAAACATCAAATTAACAATAATTGGTTCATTTTATAAAACATTATAAAAAGCACTAATAAAAATTTAATACTATATTATGCAATAAACATTTAAGAAAATTTGCATTATTTTGAGCCAATTTTTGTATTTATTTGAATAATGACTTTAAAATCTTGTTAAAATAAATCATTTATTTGAAATTACAAAATTATAGTTCTAATTCTGTATTGTTCTGAAATAATAATCGCATTTGTTAGAATAAAAGAAAAATTTATTTGGAAAATAATATGTTGTTGCTAAGGTCAAAAAGATCTACTTTACGCAACCTGTTGCATAATGTTGAACATTATGAAACTGGTCTCGAAAAATTCATTATGTCATCAGTTGCGAAAAGAAAATAAAATAAACCTTTTTTTGGTTAAACTTACGACCTTTGATCCTTATTTTCCATTTTAAATCAGCACAAAATAATTAAAACACAATACACGACAAAATAACTCACACACTACAATTCGTTGATAATAAATTAATATTATTTGCTTTTTGCATGAAATGAATGAAATTATGCATATGCAACTAACAATACAAGTAAGTAGTAATATTGGTTGCCTAAATGTCAGTAATATTTCTTACCAAAACACAATTTTTTAAATAATCTAGTCAAAATTAGAATAAATATTGTATGTAGCCCGTTACGAAATGCCGTTTTATGTAATTCGTTTATGTTGTGGTACCTCGCTCTGCTCGTCCCTTAAATATTTACTTGTTACATAAAATATGGCATTTCGTAATTGCATGCCTTTCTAGATTTTAATGGCAATAAATTGTTTGAGACTCTTGCCGGCTGTTCCATATTTTTTACTGCTTTTTTATGCAAAAACAAATATCAGAAATTTACTAAAACTAATAATGAAGTATCAAAATTCAAAAAAATTAAACCTGTCAAATGCTCACGGCAATATTTGATATTGACCAAATTTTGCTCTGGTGTTGCATTTCTATTGGCTATAAACTTGTATCTTAATAAAATTCTGTATCGTAATGAATGTCATTTAAGTACAGGTAGTTTATGTCTAATTAATCAATTAAAGTAATGTGTGTAAAAATAACACAATTAAGCTTACTTACATCTTAAAACTTTTAATATGTCTTGACATATTAAAATTATTATTTCCTAAATCGTAAAACTTATTGCTTATTACATAAATCTCTAATTATGTCTCAGCCGTTAAATATCAATCTTGTGATTATAAACCAGTTCCCTAATCGCATTTAAAATTTAAAACTAGATATTTCAATTTTCAATTAATTTTTTAACGTGTATTCATTCACGAAGTATATAGATTGCCAGCAATGATATAATTAATATAGATTGCTCACACATGTAAATAAGGCGACAAACATAAAAGCTCTGATGGTGCCCTAATAACTAGACGAAACAGGCATGAATAAATTAAATAGTGTTAAGTTTCTCTAATAAAAGTGATTATTTCAGGAAATCTTTAGATGTCATTACTTAGAAATTTTTGTAATAACTACCTACCTACATTTTATGTTCTAAGAATTTTTCTTTGATTTAATGACAATTCTCTAGACATACTTCTTTCAAGATCTCATGATGATTTGTAATATTAAACTGTTGATGTGAAAAGTATTTTTAATATTTCTTTATAATCAGTTTTTAAAAAACATTTCTCGAGAATAGTAAAATATGTTTGTATTGGTTTTTCCAATGCCATGAAAATAACCAGTTTTAATGATTTACGATATTTACATTAAATATTTAAATTTTAAATTCGCCTCCAAATTCATTATTTTTCGTTTCGTAGATTACACTCATTATTTATTTATTTTTGAATCTGGTGGTAGGTATAAATAGGGGAGACTGGGAGGGTTGAGCCACTTTTTTTCAGAGACCTGGTTTTCTGTCGCATAAAGTTTTTTACATATTGATTAACTATTGGTTTTAATTTTTTAACACAATAGCAAGATTATTTTAAAAATTGTTATTTAAGCAAAAAATAATTGATTTAAGTACCATATGCACTTGTCTCAAATCTCCTTTATGAAGGGAGGCTTGAGACAAGCAAAATCAAGCGTAGGGAAGCTTGAGACAAGAGTAGTAGGTAACGATTAAGTCACGAGTTAAAGCAAATTTATTAAAGACAGTTAATAAATTGTTTAACCCGGCAATAATAATAATAATAATAATAATTAACAGAAAAAATACACATAGGTACTTGAAAACAATAAAAGAATACAGCAGTCATAAAAATATTTGCCAAAAAACCTAAAATAAATGTTCATATTTGGAAAAATCGACTGGAAAAGAAAGGGTCCTATGTGTTCTTGCTGTTCCTCCAGTAAAGGAGGGGGTTTGGTAACTTAACCAGATCATCCCTAGGTGCGCAACATTCATCGGCAACATCGGGAAAAATAAATTTGTATCCTGGAGGCTTTAGTCTCATGTATAATAAGTCGTAATCGTTGCCATTAATATTTATGACTTTAGCAACGTAATGTCGGAAAGTCTTTTTGGTAGGAAATCATACAAGAACATAGTCAACCTTACAAACTTCTTGATTCATAAAGCTTCAGCATTTTCTTTTTCAATCGGTTAACTCATCAGAACTCGAAAAGTTGAAAGAATCGTTAGATTGTTCAGATTCCTCCATGACTATCTCAATCTTATTTTGGGGCACCTGTTTTCATCTTCTGAAACCAACTTTTTTTAATCTTTCCACCCTTTCTTCCTTTTTTTATATTGCTCTTCCTTTTTCTTTGCTCTTTCCTCAAATTCTTTTTGTATTTGGTCTTTTTCGGGGGTGTCAGTTAAAATACGTGTTTTCCCACATTTTCTTCCAGCTTTCTTTTTACGTAGAAGAGCTTTCGGAAATGGCCGTATAACTTCAGGGCTTACAAATGCATTTGGAATATTTTGGGAAGTACTAGGGATAGCTAAAAGTAAATTTT